TAGTTACTCTCTTAGAGACACTTACATGAAGTTTCCCAGGTATTGTTTTCTACAAAAAGGGGCATAACTCCACAAATTGTCAATAATTTGTTGAAACTAAAATTGCCTAGTTAATAGTTTAGCAACCTTGTATACTATACCAGGTAATGAAAGTGTACAAATAAACATCTGTAAAGTCTTTGCAGTACTTCAGACAAACGTGTCTACAGCTGGATTTACCCACAATAAATAGTACATACCATAGTTACTCTCTTAGAGACACTTACATGAAGTTTCCCAGGTATTGTTTTCTACAAAAAGGGGTATAACTCCACAAATTGTCAATAATTTGTTGAAACTAAAATTGCCTAGTTAATAGTTTAGCAACCTTGTATACTATACCAGGTAATGAAAGTGTACAAATAAACATCTGTCAAGTCTTTGCAGTACTTCAGACAAACGTGTCTACAGACCGACTAAAACCAGTACCCCCAACCTCCGTCTTAGAACTTTGTTCCAGTGAGTTGGGTGTCATGATGATAGGATTCATCTAAACTGCTACCGACAGATATGGATCTTTGAATTGATCAATGATAAGTGATCCTGATGACTTGTTCACAAACTGTTCTAATGATATCCACACTGACTGTGAAGTATGTTTCACAGCCAGGGAATCCACCCCAACATAAACTACATGTATGTATGTACTGTCACAGGACTTCAGTCACAGACGACCAGGACTAATGGCTTTTTACTGTAGTTCACTAGTACAAGCCTGTCAGTAACTTCTCATTTCTGTAGATATCATCATGGTCACCAGCTCAGTCTTTTGTTCCTTAATTACAATCCTTTGTACATTTGGACTAAACAGATTTACTCCTGAATGGGAATCTTGTAGCTTTTTTCCTAAAAGAAAAAACAACTCTCAGATGACTAATTTTGTTTAATTTTCCTAGTATATTTTGTATGTTGTTCTTTTTTTTCTAATAACTTGTGTGAGTAAAAAAATTATCTTTAAAGGCCAAAGGTCACATTTAAAGTCATTACCATACCAAACCCAGGGTAAAATAGCTTAAATGCCTTTATGAATAATTTATATGTACCTTTTTTTTTTAAAGTTTGGTAATGGTATATTTCATTTCATGTCTTCAACAAGCTATTGCATTAAATTGGAAACAGAATGGATTCGACATGATGGGACATACATGTATACATTTGTATATTCCATATTAGTTTTCATTACATTTATATTCTCAATACAAAAGGTATATATACGCAATTCAAAATAGCATAAACAGACCAAACTTTATAGTGTTTTTTTGGTGTCAAATACACCACAAAATACCTGTAGGTCAAAAGTTCACCTTGTCATTAACGAGTTGTGTACAGACCCTGTACACCTGTACTTACACAATGCTCTAAGGCCCGTTAAAGGTTATATTATAGCTTTAAGGGGTCTGGGATGACAAATATCAAGGAAAAGACCACCCTTTTCTTTCACCTGTAGAAATACCAAAAATTCAAAGAAGTCACAGGTAGGGCTGACTGTCTAACAATAAAACACATTTATGTCCTGGCATTTCCGTTGACCGGTGACATGACAAATGACTACGGCCACTGTTGGTCATCTCGCTGGACAAGAGTGGTTAAATTGTTGAGTGGGTCCCAACTACCACACCCACCTTCAGGTGACAGGGGCCTAAGCTCCAGGAAACTATTGTCCAGGGCTGATCAGGGTTGGGTTGTGTAGGATAAACAGCTTAACAGCATATACATACCAACAAGAACTGTTCATCTTATATAATTGGGGCTATCAAAAACAATGTCAATAAAAACAAAATATTCAAACTAAAGCCGATTTAATACACTACATTAGGAAAGAAAAATCACCATTTAAGACAAGAAGTATTTAAAAATCTTTTTCCGTTTAGATACAGTTACAGAAAAAGCTAAGCTAACAATGCTTTCCTTGCTGATCCCAGGTATTTGACCATTGGTCAGACTGGTCAGCCCCAGGCTCCTGTTTACTACAGGTGTCAGGGCAGTTAGACTATTAATTGGGATTATCACACAATATTAGGGACTAGCCAGTCAATAAAGCAACTCAATTATTGGTTCAACTCTTGATTTATGTGATCAGCACACAAAACACAAATTGTGAACTGGAAATGGTGAAGGATATACAGTACTTATACCATATAAGGTAGCTTAATATTCAAACAGGATAACTAGGCCCAGGACTATGGGTCTATAGACTAGATCTAGAGACAGTGTACTTTAGATCGGACACACAAAGCTGGATGATATACCGTCCCTATAGACAATTTCTCAAAATAATGAGGCATTTAGATACATATTATAACATAATCTTTCAATTTTAAACCAAACCTAAAGAAAATCTCTTATGATCATGCTGTTAAAACTGTGTAAAGAGAGTTCTTAAAATGTATAATTACCTACAGTATAACTGTATAATGTTAACTATAAAGCTCACAGAGGGGTCAATCTACAGATACACTTATAAATCTACACTATATTGCCATATCATACCGTGCACAAATTAATTGTGATTTCATAATTCAGACCGAGCTCTGATTGAAGGAACCCCGAAAAATGTACATGTCTGTTGATTACCTGAACAATGATCAGCACGTACCTGTCTAGAGTGACTATTTCAGGGCTAGGCAATATAAACCATATAGCCAGCTATGTAATCTGAGCCCTAGTGAAATGGTTCTAAAAAATGCTAGCTAGCCTAATCAGACTAGTCAAAATTGTATATTACTTATCTGGTGCATTTAACGATTGAATTTGAAAATTGATTTGTAAAATTGGAAACTACCAGCCCAACTGACCAGTAGTTTCTGAAATAAACATACAGGTCTCTGACCGAATATGTTTTAATGATCAAATTAAACTATGTGGGTATACCAAGACATATTTCCAAAAAAAAATCTACAGATAACAGTTATATTTGAAAAATTAAATTTTGTTCAAACAAGGTCAACTGTATGAATTTTTAATTTAGACAGTTAAATAATTAGAAACAAGATGGATGTATATTTGCTTCAAGAGTGACTCAGCTTCAGTTTCATAGTGTAATCACCTCCTTTATATATCTAACGAAAAAAATCATTAAAAACAACCACCCTGGAGTGTGTCAGAGAACTAAAAAGGCTGCTCCACAGATCTAGATCTCCATGAACTCTGGTCTGTGCATTCATTTTATTCTTCTGTAATTGTTGACTGTCATTTGACAATCTTGTTTGGGTGAATTTCATGAATATTTAATGAGTACAAATGAAGCCACGCCATGACGAGTGTTGCTGGCGAGAAACCACTAATTTGTTGAGTAATATTTTACAGCTCAACTCAACAAATGTCAATAAGAACACTTCCTGTAATTTTATTTTTTCGTTATGTGAGAATGTCGTCACGACATTTTGTTAGGATATATCTAACAATGCCCCGTGGCATAACGATCTCTCGAGCATTCAAACAATGTTTTAAAGACATCGTCAATAATACCATCATGTCAAAATTGGATTGCATATAATCTTATGCAATGTATATATATATAGTATTGTTTGCTGTTATTGGTACATATCCACCCACTGACCGTTATTACGAAAACATCTTTTATCTTCAGACTCTGATTAAAACTGAATTAAAAACTCTGCCAAAAATGTTATCAAACCATGAAAATGTGTTGAATTCAACTCAAAGCCTATAATGATAATACAATATACCTGGCCCAGAAATTCAGTATATATGCATGGATTATATACATGACAACGAAATGGTACATGTATGTTTCATAATGATTAATAATTCCATAAACTGAAAAAAATCAGCTTTGAAACATTAATCATCCTCATGTCATGAAGTATTGTACGTACAAGGTAAATATGTATAACATACGTCAATGAAGATCTCTTGTCATATACGGTATGCATATTGCACTAAAGTTTTCATATTTTCTAACCTGACGCCATTTCCCTGCAACCCATAGGCTCTGTACAGGTTTATTTTCATTGTATTGAAAATTGCAACCTTCAGTTAAATATAATTTGCAGCGGTCCTCGTTATAAATTATAGGGAAAGAAGTAAATGAAAATGTTTCTGCTATTAAAGGTCTATTGAAGAGGAATCTAGTTATAATTTACTCTTCCAAATTACAACTTAACCAACAAACATAAACATTATATAAGGAAGTTCTGGTATTAAACCAGTGATTATGAATGATGACCAACATTATACAATTTGTACTAGTAACTCTGTTAGACTCCACGCTGATGTAGAAATATATCAAGGTCAAGTTTATGTTCCTTAGTCAGTAGAGAGCGTGTCAACCTGATATTACTCAAGATGGCACTGCACTCTGACCATTATCCCATCAAACCTCTAGACTGGACCCATACCTGACTGACCAATCGATAACCAGTGTCTAATAGCTATTATTAGAGTACGCATAAATGAACCAATATCATCCGAAACTCTAAACAAAGACACGTTAATTTCTTTGCTTTCTGCCACCTTGATTTGATGTTTCATTTATTAACTCTCTCACAAACGTTGAAGGTGAACATGATGTTTTGAGTAATTTAATCAAAGCTGCATTTAGTGTAAATGACCTATGCTGATCAGCTTCAAAATACACAGAGTAGAATATAGAAACTGCTTCCTAATGCAAGCACTGTTCTCAAATACCATTATGGTAAAGAAAATCAAGCACAGATTTTTTTCGACAGATCAATTTTGTACAGCAACTGTATTGAACTTGGCTTGACTTTAAATAATACTTAGGATGATGAAAAGTTATGAAGGGTTGTTTTTATTAATAATTATCAATCAAAATACCAGGTATGGCACATAACCATGCACGACTGCTTCTTTGAATAAACACAGTACCATATATATATAATCTGTAATGCTTCTAACCATTAGGTTGACTGTAAAACATTTTATATGGTTATATACAAACAAAGAAAATTTGTTTTAAATATATATTGAAAACTTACCTTGAAAGTTGTTCGAGTTGGTGATGTGGAATTTCAGGGTAATGATGCGATGCTGCATGTCTTCGTAATCAAGTTGTCTCCCTTGTTTGATATAGACATATCCACGGGTGTCAACTTGAAACGTTTCGGGAAGGGAGGACTCCACTAAACTATACTGCTCCACCCCTGATAAAGGGGGCGGGGTCGACGCTATACTGAACATAGACTTACTACTGGGCATACTCTCCTGAACTTCGTAGGTTTTCTCAACACGATTGATGACTGTAGACCTTTTAGATAGGCGATGACGATAAGATTCAAATTTTAGCGCCTTAGGGATCACTTTGACTTGAACACTGACTGGGTCACTAGAGTGACCGCTGGAATCTCGAGCCACAACATAGAACATGTAATTCCCAGAATCAAGGTATGCATTTCTCTTCAGGAATACTTTCCCACTAACTGGGTCGATGATAAACAGACCATTTTCATCTGCGATTTTATATGCGATGGTTTCATCATCCAAGTCAAAGGCACGAACTTGAAGCACCCTTGTTCCCCCGTAAATTCCTGCACCAAATTCTACATTATATGATGATTTTTCGAATTTTGGAATGTTGTCATTTTCATCCAGTACAAATATCTTGACCACAGCTTGTGCTTTTTGACCCTGGTCATTTTCTGCCTGGACTATAATTCTGTATTGGTTGTTTTCTTCCCTGTCTAGCGGGTTTTTAGTGACAAATTTGATTTCTTCTACTTGGCTATAAAGATTGTGTTTGAGATGAAAATTATTTGACCCTGTATTGTAAAAGATGGAATATCTAATATGACCAAGTGACACAGATTCATGATTTCTAGACCAAACATGACCGACTATTTCCACAGGTGAAAGGGATGGTTGGTTTTCCTTGATGGTGCCAATGTATTGTTGCTGTGGAAAAGTAAACAAATCTGTTGAATTGTCAACAATAACATGCAACACATCCAGGATTGGTCCACTTTCTAAAGCATCCCTGACGTAAAATGTAAATTCCTTTCCTAATGAAGATGTCAGGTCGTCTTTTGTCATAAAATGACCCTTGTCCACTGTAAAAAGTGACCTTGCTTTTTCACCGAAACTTTCCAAAACAGGTACTTTTCCTGATACGGAGAGTTTCGTAATGACAGTTGATGGTGGTGTTTTGAAAGGTACATAAACATTTGTCTTAATCTTACCAATTTTTGTTGGTGCAGTGGAATGTATAAAACCAATCATACCCATTAGACACACAAGGTAAAACAGACATATATCCACTCCTTTCATCCTTACGGTCGCCATGTTGCCTCACGGCCTTAGATAAGTAAGACTTCTCCGATCCAACTGAAAATCCGGGAAACGTTATCGTTAAATTTAGATAGAAATAAATCCAACATGTAACGATCACATTACAAGTGTGATCTTTAAATAACACACCAGAACAACAAACCAGTGTACGACATATCTCCAAGCCTATAGCTAGCACACACAACTCCTGCAAGACCGTTACATTTTGCGGCGAGCTCTCTCAAAATATCATCTGCATCGCAGCCGCTCGGAACACCCTACTCCAGTCACAATATCATAACATCCAACAGAATCGCTGATCATCCGTCTTTATACCAAGTACACGGTTACAGCACACAACTCGTCACCGCTTGAGTTGATCCGACTCATTTACAATTTAAATCCATCCTCTACACATGTACATCTCCCCTCCTGCCGATTCGTGTTCCGAACACTTTCCTATGTTTCCATTCGAACGACTCAGGTGTCGGAATTTGTAAAGTCCGGCTGCCCTTCTTTTTACCTCCCTCACCGCTGTCGGCGAGTGAACAAATGGGTGCACAGAGCCCGATAAACGCTTCAATCGATGTGTTTTTCAGTGCAAAATCTATTAATATATCATTTATGTATTTATGAGCTAGAATTGTAGCATAGCAAAGACGTGTCTTATTATATAGCACCTAGTTTCTCTTTGGGGAAAATAGCGGGAGATGCCCGGAACGGCTTATATATGCAAATAGTGTTTTGACCAATGATCGATGTAGAAGGTATCCTACGTTTTTCATTGAAGCGTGACAAAATAGCGTCCTAAACAAATACACCTGTGTGCAAGGTTTAAGTGCAGACTACGGATCAAATGATATAGGAGGATTATTTACGCATGGCTAACAAACGATTGACGCTATCAGAGAAGCCAATTACCTATATCAACTTTATAGCTGAACTAAAAGTATGTACACACAATATATGAACGATATTGACAATGTCAGTGAGATATTCTAGATGGAAGTAGATTCTAATGCTATTACATAAGTGAGGAAAATACACATATATGAAATAAAATTTTCCTTTTTTTAGATGTTTTGTTCAATCAAATCAACATGAAAATGGTACATTGATATAAGAAAACAGCTCAATTTATGATAATATTATGAATTAACAATTTCTACTTATATCAGTCTATGATTAAAATATTTTCATTTCCTTTTAACAAAGTTTTGTTTTGTAATTTGGTCATATAATGGCACATAAAATAAAACATATAATTGAAAGATTAGAAAGAAAATATCAGATAAAGAGTATGCATCCCTACCATAAAAATGTCATTGTATAGTGCTATATCAATATAATTAATCATTTCAACATGACATGTTTGCCGCTATTTCAATGCCATAACATGTCAATCGTAATTATCACTGATATTGTAGCCTTAGAATTTATGAGATTTTTTTTATGTGGTAGGCTGTATTTGGAAACAGTCCTTCCTATTTCACATGTCCCTAGGGAGTTAGTGCTAAAACCTTGTATCAAGTCTGCGTCCAGTTGTAAGAATCATCCAGGGGTTCGAAAGGGGTTCACAGTAAAGAAAAAAAGTAAACATTTGGTTACGATACATATATCCGTTTTTCATTAATTTCCAAGTAACTGTCAAAGAAGAAATTGAACTAAAACAGGGCGATATAAATGCAATAGTATTTTTTTTATATACATGTACAATACCAAATTTTCATGATAGACACCCTTGTATCAGTCACCCGTCCTCGGCAGGCCCTTATCGATTAAAGATATAGCCACTGGCCCCTAATCGACATCTTAAAAAGCGGTCAGTTGTAGTTTCGGAACGGTTCAGATGCTTTAATGAAACTCACAAATCAATTTTCCGGTCAGATTTTGAGGACTGTCTGTATAGTTTCACTAGAAAAGAAATTCGGAAGGCACAAAAGGTCGGGAAGTCTTTGTCCATGGCATGGCGTCACCATGTGTTGGTCTTCAGACCGCGGCCAAGTCCTGCAGGGATTTCCCCCAGCATCATAGATCATTGATTAACAAAAAACCCAATCTGTCATATGTCAACTTGAGTCCCGTCGTAAGATGCCTTACAAGGATTGTGTCACGTGAATGTAACGGTGGCCCAATCAATTAGGCGACCGACATACAGGCCAGATACCACACATGATACAATGACATATTTTTCCTCTATAAAAATGTTTCACTTAAATCTTCATCCAGAAACAGCTCTTAAAAGGGTGCTGCTGGACAGATTGCATTGTATGTGGTAAGTTGACGGTATTAAGTGAAAATATTTATATAACGTCGATATGTTTGATTAAAAAAAAGCGTTACATAGTGTTTGTTTTAAAAATATATGTCATGCGTCACAATTTGATGTCCTTTTCATTCATGAGGAGGTGTTTGAGGAGTAAAGTTCCGACACCACATCTGGCACCGGTCGTGATGTCCACCGTCAAATCAAGAATTGGACACACTATTCAGCATCAGTTTAAGCCAGTCCCCGGTGAAAATTAACATAACACATTTTTATTTACTGCATTTCAATATTCACTAAAATTTGCTGTAATGTCGGTAGTGTGTTGTCATAGAATTTTTGTATTCATTGTATTAATGATCCTATCAATATTCGAGTCAATATGGCGACGGTTACGACACAACATATTATGTAACCCTGTCACCAGCTCCGACGGCGTTCGCTATACTTCATGTATTACTAGCATATAGATAGCGTAGGTAACGGGTTGCATGAAAAATCAATAATTTCGATCGTGTGTGTCCAGGACTACAACTTTGCGACATCCAACAGCGACACAAATGTCTGTGTCAGTTTCTTATCGGTCGGAACCATGGCCAACCGAGCATGGCTTTAAAATCAGCTTATTCAAAGTTTTATCTATCATTACATGTAGTTTAAATACAATACTGCAATTTTCACAACTATTTTGCTAGTTTTAATTTGAGCTTTTAATAGCACAGAACAGGTTTCAGCTCAATTCAAACATATTTTTGTTAACAAAAAATATGATTTCCCCCCATTTTTTAAAACATTTTAAATATATCGGCCACTAAATTATAACCTGAAGTGTTTTAGACTTTTTAACATGCTTCATTACTTGCACGCACCGTATGACTTTATTTATCAAATTATTCATCACAGACCATGACCTTATCATACTTGAAACCGTCAAAGATCAAGGAAATCGAAACTGTCGGAGATAAATTGTGTAAAGCTTACATCAAGTACGTTACACCAGATACAGACCAATATGTCACCTAACGATTGACGTTAAGTTCCAGACACTTCAACTCGCGAATTTCCGATATGTCGCTTACAACATATTAGCTATATATAGGATCTCGCATGACTTTCCATCGGAAACAAATTTGAGATAAGTTTATATCACACAATCATTTTTTTAATATTTAGAGAAAAGAATAATAATAATAATAATAATAATATTTATTCGTTAAAAGCAGGATACAGGTACAAATATCACATATGATCACAGATTTCAATTGCATAATAATCACTGATTTATCACAGTATTTAGCTTATCACATCAAAGTTAATATCACAAATTTTGGAGCACTATAATTACAATGTATCTGTTTGACTAAGCTTTAACCTAGGATATCCCATGAAAGCTGGGTGGCAGCTTATTTCCAATGGGGTCCTCTAGTATAGATCTTAATTACTTAGATAACAAAAGGTCCTAAGGATTTGACCTTATAATATGAATATAAGATGGTATAATTTCTCGTAATAATATATATATGGATAGAATAAGTTGTAATTGGTCAGATATGATGATGGTATATTATTTCATCAAAATGAGATGTTATTTTATTTGACGGTATAAGATGGAGTTGTCATTAGCAAATATGATTACCTTCTGATAATATATATATAAGACGTTTTCCATGTTATCTTAAAGTCAAAAATTGCATATTCATGGCTCCATATATATTGTCGTCATTGTGACGTCATATTATAATCTTGGAGTCAGTGACATCATTCCAGTTGGCATTCATATTAACTATGGATGCTAACTCAAAGCTGTTCAATAGAATAAGGAGAGGCACATCCCAGAGAGGGAGTCAGATGTACCTTACATTACAATTGTTATGTCGTAATTATGACCTCAACAGGTGGGCTGTATGGTTTGGTTGGTTTTACTTTGTTTGACGTCCTATCAGCATGGTCATTTAAGGAGGTGCCTCCATGTGTTTAATGTATGCGTGTTCGTGCGTAAATGTGCTGTATGCAGGCTATGTTGGCTTGTGTCTATATGTGTGCTGTATGCTGGATAGGCTGGCTTGTGTCTATATGTGTGCTGTAGGCAGGATAGGTTTGCTTGTGTCTATATGTGTGCTGTCGACTGGGTAGGTTGACTTGTGTCTATATGTGTGCTGTAGGCTGGATAGGTTGGCTTGTGTCTATATGTGTGCTGTAGGCTGGGTAGGTTGGCTTGTGTCTATATGTGTGCTGTAAGCTGGATAGGTTGGCTTGTGTCTATATGTGTGCTGTAGGCAGGATAGGGTGGCTTGTGTCTATATGTGTGCTGTAGGCTGGGTAGGTTGGCTTGTGTCTATATGTGTGCTGTAGGTAGGATTGGTTGGCTTGTGTCTATATGTGTGCTGTAGGCTGCATAGGTTGGCTTGTGTCTATATGTGTGCTGTAGGCTGGATAGGTTAGCTTGTGTCTATATGTGTGTTGTAGGTAGGATAGGTTGGCTTGTGTCTATATGTGTGCTGTAGGTAGGATAGGTTGGCTTGTGTCTGTATGTGTGCTGTAGGTAGGATAGGTTGGCTTGTGTCTATATGTGTGCTGTAAGCTGGATAGGTTTGCTTTTGTCTATATGTGTGCTGTAGGCTGGATATGTTAGCTTGTGTCTATATGTGTGCTGTAGGCAGAATAGGCTGGCTTGTGTCTATATGCGTGCTGTAGGCAGAATAGGTTGGCTTGTGTCTTTATGTGTGCTGTAGGCTGGATAGGTTGGCTTGTGTCTATATGTGTGCTGTAAGCTGGATAGGTTGGCTTTTGTCTATATGTGTGCTGTAGGCTGGATAGGTTGGCTTGTGTCTATATGTGGGCTGTAGGCTGGATAGATTGGCCTGCGTCTATATGTGTGCTGTAGGCAGAATAGGTTGGCCTGTGTGTATATGTGTGCTGTAGGCAGGATAGGCTGGCTTGTGCCTATATGTGTGCTGTAGGCAGGATAGGCTGGCTTGTGCCTATATGTGTGCTGTAGGCAGGATAGGCTGGCTTGTGTCTATATGTGTGATGTAGGCTGGATAGATTGTCTTGTGGCTATATGTGTGCTGTAGGCTGGGTAGATTGGCCTGTGTCTATATGTGTGCTGTAGGCAGAATAGGCTGGCTTGTGTCTATATGTGTGCTGTAGGCTGGATAGATTGTCTTGTGTCTATATGTGTGCTGTAGGCTGGGTAGGTTGGCCTGTGCCTA